TCCAGGAGGATTTGCTCCATGATCTTGCCAGGCATGCAGGTGAGACAGACTGGCCTGTAGTTTTCCCAGATCTTCCTTTCTTTTTTCCCTTTTTAAAGATGGGGGTTATGTTTCCCCTTTTCCAGTCAGCAGTAACTTCACCAGACTACCACGACTTTCCAAATATGATGAAGAGAAGTTTTGCAGCCCCATCCGCCAGTTCTTTCAGGACCCACAGATGTATTCCGTTGGGTCCCATGGACTTGTGCACCTTCAGGTTCCTCAGGTGTTCCCAAACCTGATGTTCTCTAACCATGGGCAGCTCTCCTTTCTCCCAGTCCATGCCCTTGCCTTCTGCCACTCAGAGGGTGTGTCTTGTGCTCTTGCCAGTGAAGACCAAGGCAAAATTGAGCACCTCAGCCTTTTCCATGTCCTGGAAACCAACTCCCGTTTCCTTCTCCAGAGGGCCCACATTTTCCCTTATGTTCCTTTTACCATTACTACCTCTGTACCTATAGAAGCCCTTCTTGTTGCCCTTGAATGTTTGGTTGTATTTGGCTAACAGTTCTGAATATGCTTGATGCTTGTTTGTACTTGATAATTATGAAAATGTGTGCTTCCTATACGATAAGGACAGGAATTCTTTTTCTATGTAGCCTGGAGTATAAATGATATCTAGAATTTTCCTTGTAATGAGTAAGAACTTACTAGAAGAGGGAGTTAACTCAGATTATGAAAAAAACCCGACTGTCAGTAGCTTGCTTCTGCACCACGTAGTCTCCTTTGACTTGTCAGTGGACAGATCCAGAGTCCAAAATCCTTTTTTTCTTGTCTGCTAGGTAGTGACAGGAAATTCAGTGTCTGGCTGTTGAGCACCTTACGGTGATATTATAGCTAATACCTTGGTGTTATTGCACAGCCTTTGTGCTTTATTTGTTTGGATAAAGTCAGGAATTCTAGTTCGATCTTGGCAGAGGGAAGGAGTGAGAATCAGCTGCTGCTTGAGAAGTCAGAAATGAAAGCCAACAACTTTGACTCCCATTTTGAGGATGAGGGGGAGGTTAAAAGAACTAATGGAAAAACAAGCTTCAGATCCTAAAGCCACAATGCACCCTTAACTTTATTGCTGTCAATGCCCCATTTGCTTCATCTTTCAAATCTGGTGTGTAGCCAACTTAAATAATACTACAGTGATTGCAACCTGAGGTGACACAGAGTTGTGAATTGTACTAGGAAAATTCACTGAAATAATTCATCAACACAGGGCAAAACCAAATGCAGAAATTAAAAAGGATTAAATTATCTGGCAGTGCAAGCTTTCTGTCTCAGTAGTGTGAATATGCAAGTAACTCTTAGGGTCTTCTTTTGATTGTTTCATTCTCACCTGCAATTTTTATACAAATTGAGCCTAAACCACCATTTCTGGTTTTATCCTAATCTGGCTGAAGCGCCTCAGATGTAATTGCACATTTGGACCTGGAGGAGATTGAAACGGATCTATTAGTCCCTGCATGTTAGAAGCACATCAGCTATGTTTTCTCAGTAGCCTTCCTACATGACTGCAAGGGAAGTGAGATCACATTGAATAGTGTTAAAAGCAAAAGATCATGTGCTAAAATCTAAATTTTATTTAACAAACCGTGAACAGTTGATCAGATGCTTTAGCTTTTTTGTCCCTGGGCATGTATTGTGTAAGGGACCAATACTGTTTTGAGTTTTTGGTAATAGGCAGTGTACTTTAGAGAGAGAATTCCTAAGGGCTTATATCATTTTGTTGAGGTGAGAGAAGTTAAAGTTTAAAATTCAGGTGGCACTTCTGAAAACATATGCAAACTTGGGAAAGTTTAGAGAAGAATGGCCTGATATGTAGGACCAAGCCTTCAGAAATAAATAAATTCTGGGAAATAAGAAATCTGTCTACACGTGTAACCTTGTATAATTACTTATCCAGTTCTAGGTAGTTGAACAGTCATTTATTAATTATACAAAGGAAACAGATGGGCAGAACTAGTTTTCTGTCACATTGTACAGCACCTCTGGGCTGAGAAGTTTATGAAGGGGGAGAAAAAAACTGGGAAGAGCAATTGTAGCTGGAGAGAGGAGTGAGAATATGCCAGAGTCACAGCTTTGCAGACCCCCAGGTTATTGCCAAGGAGGGGAAGGAGGTGCTCCAAGCACCGGAGCAGAGATTTCCCTGGCAGCCTGTGATGAAGACCATGGTGAGGCTGCCTGTGCCCTGCAGCCATGGAGCCTATTTCTATTTTCTTGCCTCTGCCCATCTGAGGAGAGGAGTGACAGAGTGGCTTGATGGACACCTGGAATCCAGGTGGGGTGTATTGGATTCACCCTGGCTGGGTTTGTAAAATTAGAAAATGCTTTATTGGCAGGAGGAAGAATGTGCATGAGGGTAGAGTAAGATGGACAAGACCTAGTGATCATGATTCTTAATGGTAACATGTGCCTGATTTAAATTACTATACTTACAGAGGTATTTCAGATTCACCACCGAGAACAACTGAAAAGGTCAGGTTAGTTAACTTTTTGTTTATAAACCATTAAACAGTGTTGTATGCAATCATTTCTGTTACAAAGGCAAAGTATTTAAGAGAATTAGTGCGGTATAGCAAAAGTATTCCTCAGCTGTGAAGCTGTCTTTTATCTGAAAAGGTAACTAACCTGATTTCATTGGTAGGTTAGTAAATTTCAGTGGCTACTTCTGGAAAACACGGATGGCATAGCAAAGGAAAACAACAGTCTTAACTTGACGGAAGGTTGTTCTAGGGAATGTCAGTCATCAAATATCTTAACCTCTGAGCCTTTAACTGTGTTTTTTTTCTACATATATACAGTCAGAAATAATATAGATGAGTTTACTTGGATTTCAATTATGAATGCCAGTTTTATGTATTTTAATAGAAAGAGAAGACGTATCTTTTTCTCTTCAACCATGTGCACAAACACTAGTAGACTGTATCGCTCAAAAATTCCGTAATTGTAGCGGTTTCAAAGATTAAATTATTTTTGTAAAAGTGTATACCACAAATTCTATAGGCATATCACCTTTTGTGACAGAAAAAAAAAGGTAATAAAAGATGAGGTGGGGGGGAAATCTATTAATTTAGTACTAGGTACTTCCAAATTAGTTCTCAGTCAGTCTTGAAACATAGGTCAAGCAGTGAAAGGAAGTGGTGAAGTGAGCTATAATACTTTGATTTTCTCCATCCCTGAAATAGAATGCAGTGGTGAATATTCAACTAACAGAGGGTTTTGGTCATACATGGTTTGCATAATCATTAATTTATATATTGGGTTTTGAATCTGCATTATAATTGGAATTTACTATGAGTATAATTTCTTTCTCCTGGTTGCATTTCCAGCATCGTTTAGGCACAATCCAGAGTTGAAAACATGAAGTATCTAGGAGGCTATAAATCTATTTATAGGTTAGGGCAGTTGGTCACAAACTGTTACAAAGTCCTTTGTATAACTTCAAGATTTTAAAATAATGTGTTTTCAACTTGTGATCAATGTCTCCAGCTGTAAAAGACTTAGTTTAAGAATGTATTCTTAGAGAAACAGATCTTTCTAGAACAGAGTCTGGAAACGTAGATAATGCCTATCATGTACCTTGTTGTAGGATGAGGTAAGTCTTCCTTTAGATGTATCAGTTCTTTCTGTGAAATACGAAGAGAGCTCTCTGAAATTAGAGTTATCAGGTGCTGTGCTTAGGCCCCTCTTATGGGGTGCATATGAGCACCTCTCTGCATATACAAGAAATACAGCAATGTGCAAAATATGTGCTTACCTAATGAAGTGCGGTATTGCATAATCATAGAGTTTCTTGAGAGATTAACTGATGACTGTTCAAATGTTTTACTGAACAGATCCTCTAAAACAGGTGTTTTTGTAATCTGCATCTTAAAATACTCCCAGTATTATAAAAAGTGCAAATATGAATTAATATATTACTGCATAGCGGAGAAAAAAGGTACAGTTTGCACTTTAAATCCTTTTCTTTCTCTCTTAGGTTTCTCCAAGCTGGTAATGTCTGGAGTGATCACCAAGTGCTTTATTTAAGTATGGGCTGGATATTGCCTGCCATTTGAGGGGAAGAAAAAAAAAAAGGAGAAAAATCAATTAAAATGAGCTTCAGGTCATAGTAATAAGAGTTGACAATTAATAATGAAAAAATTATCTTAAACTTCTGTTTACCTTTGGAGCTAATTATGTTTATAAATGTGTTAAAAAGGAGAAAACTTTCATCTTTTCACATGTTTTCTGTTTAGTAAACAGTCACCTAATAATCTGTAAGCAATCCCATGCCATTTGTCACAGTTTCTTGTAAGGCAGGTCTACACTCCCTGTGAGCAGAAGTTCTCATAGCTGAGAAATTCCATCACATTATTGATAAAATCCTTGCTTGGAGCATCCTGTTCTTGCTGTTTGCATGTATACCATAGGGTTGTGCATCCAGGAAGAACATTTACAGCTCCTCTGTGGTTAAAAGCATGTTTATTTGCTTCCCTGCCATCAGAGTTGCGTTCAGAAGCCATACTTTGGATTTTGAAATTAAGGTATCTTAAATCTTGAATTATGTGGTTAGGTGGACCATTTTTTATTTAGTTCAGTATTTTGTATTGAAGATAAAATTGTCTTATTTTTTTGTTTGATGTAATTAATGATTATTTAATCATTTACATTGCAACTCTGGTTTAATTCTCCTAGGCTCACAGTGGATATTGCTGCAGTTCACTCTAAGTAAGCCTAAATCAAAAATATACTCCAGAGTAGTGTATTCCTGGCTACCCATTATGTGATTATTATGCTTTACAGTGTTCTGTAATTTTAACCTGAAATTGGCTGAACACATAGTACTTTTTAAAAAAAATTGCGCATCATGGAACAGCCCTGGTGTAGATGACTAAAATACAGCTTTGTAATTCTTAAATACAGTTATTTTACAGACTTAATTTTCCTTGACCTTTTTCTTGTGTAGTAAGGTACTTTTTTCGTTGACTACCCATTATTTCAAAGTAGAGGATGGAGGTGAAAGATCAGTCTGTGTCACCTTTGGATTTTTCTTCTTTGTGAAAGCAATGGCAATTCTTATTGTGACAGAAAACTATCTAGAGTTTGGACTTGAATCAGGTAACTCCTTTCTTTAGTGTTTGCAACAGCTCTGGTGATTGCATGACCTGAAATAATTATGTCCAGTCTTTTAGGTGGTTCTGAGAATGTCTGTGTTAAAATGAGCTCTGTATGAACTTAGAAGAAATTTTTGCTTCGGAATGCAGATTCTGAAGGCTGTCTTGTGTATTTTCCCTGTTTTCTTTTAAATAGTGTAATCCTCACTTTGGTTCTTTGTTTTGTTAATTACATCTGACTTCCGTTTTACATTTTACCCATTTTGTCTTTCATAGTAAAGTGAAGCTTTTTTACTGAAAATCCTAAACTTATGTTTGTGAAAAATATTTTTATTCTTGTTCCTGTAATGTGCAAATATGTGTTAATAATCAAGTTTTATTGCATTATGACATACTACTTAACGCATGGAAGAGCTATGCTAGGCATACGAAACCTTGTTTAAACATGACCTGTTACCTAGTATTTTAGGATTCTGCATTTGTACTGTAATAAAATACATATAATGTATGTGTCTCTGCAGGATTCTCGAATTTCTCAGAAAGTGCTATGCAGTTTCTTGAAAAGCAGGGTTTGGAATCCCAGTAAGTTTCTGGAAGTACATTTGTCTGTTTTATATGTGCTTTTGTAACTGAACCACTTGGGTTTTCTTAGCAAGCATTTGTCTTGCATGTTTTGCTCTTGTACATGCATATTGTGTCTGTAATGTAAAGAGGTGGCTTAATGAAGATAATTCATCAGTACTCACAAGTAATTTCAGTTGCATTTTTGTTTTCTCTTTTAATTTGGAGATACTTTCTACCCTGACATTTTGGTTGTAGTTCATAAAATTCGGTTCAAAGCTATAAACATTTTCTCAGGGTAACTTCCTTCAGCTTTGCAAGGATTGCTTAAAACAAGTGATAAATACTTTTTTGCTATTCCTGTGGCATGTAACAGGATGAACATGCAAAAGCTATAGGTGGAGCTTGTGATAAAGTTGGTATTTGGGGTAAATTTTGGCACTTGGTCCTGTTTTCAGGCTGTAGTAGTGTTCTTACTACGCAAAAACATCTGCTACAGGACATCCAAGTTTTGTATAGTTTGTTTAAGGAACGTGCCATAGCTTGTGACATTACCTAAATATACAACTGCTGTCATATACAGCCTTTGTGTATTGTAAAATGGATTTCTGTTAGTCTACATATGCTCTGGAATGCTTTTATGGGGTATATTGTCAACTGTGGAAAGGCAGCTTTGGATTTTGTGCTTGGAAGTTCTCAGGTGTCATGCAGAGGCTATAGAATCGCTTTAATTTTGAGGAACAGAAGTTTCCTCAAACTAGATGAGTGTCATTTATGAAAAAAACTCATGGGAAACCCTTAACTGAATACCATGTGTTTCGTAGCCTTTCTTCACTCTGCTTTTCCTAAGCTATTGTAAATTTGCTAACTTCATATTACTTTTTCTGTTAAGTGTTTGTTTTATTTTTGAACTTTTTCAATGCTTTGGCTGTTTACAGCAGCAATTGAGTTGATGATGGTGTCTTTTGGTAGTTTGTATGACGTAGATTAAGAAAGTGTCTGAAACTCATGTGCATCACTAGATTTTTGTTCTTTAATATTTTCGTTGCATGTTGCCTGTATTTTTGTGTAATCCAGTGTTTATTAATTCTTGAATTAATCGATTCATTGTTGATCTTGTTTTTTTCTTTTCTGTTAGTTTTTAATATATTCCATAATTCATGAAAATAAACTATTAATCACTTGGAAGAGAAACGCTAATTGGCCACATGTATATTTTAGTTAAATTTGTGAAAAACTGCAGTAATAACAGTTTGATAGAGCTTTTTAAGGGATAAAGGTAGAATATAAGTAGTATAACTTAACTGTGCATTTTGTCTTTGACCAGTTAGACTTACGATGCACCTATTCCTCTCTCAAAAACATAATCATTAAGTTTATTCTACTAGCTATTTCTGCTACATAATTTGTTGTTAATTATAAAATTATTTTTTTTGTTCTTCTCTACTAACAAATTTAACATCCTACAAGCAGTAGCTTAGGTTTTCTGTTTTTCTAGGAAATAAATGGATGACTTTTTTTAAATTTTTAACTCCTGATTGGTTTGTAATAATGCTGGTATTCCAGAGTAAAACTATAGAATACTGTTTGCCTTTTTTATTAAATATGAGATACTGTTGAGTTGAAAGTAGTCTCTAATATGCCTCCCCTTCTCCCTGCCCCATGCCCCCATTCCCCAACTTCCTTGCCAAGAAAATGCTTATTTCCTTTCTTTTCTTTTAGGGGTCCTGTGTCTAAACTAACCTTCAAATTGTTCCTGGCTGTTCTGTGTTCACTTATTGGTGCTTTTTTGACATTCCCTGGCTTGCGACTGGCTCAAATGCATCTGGATGCTCTGAATTTAGCAACAGAAAAAATAACACAGTAAGAGAAAAATATATGCACATGGGTATATGCTACTCAGTCTTAAATCTTTAATGTCTGAAAATAAACAAAGTGTACTATTCCAACAAGGAGGTAGTGACTAAGACTTCTGTTGCTGCCTGCTTTTCATATCTCGAGCAGACTTGCCACCTGCCTCTTTCTGCTCAACCTATGCTCTGCCAGTCTGTTATGTTCTTTGCTTTGTAATTAAAAGTCCCAATTAAAGGAGCTTTCTTTTCCGTCTGCAAGAGCTCCATCATGAATGTTTCTGCTTACTGCTTCTTTTCCCCCTTCATATATTTTTGGAAGTTAACTATCTGGAACTACAGGTGCAACCACAGACTTTTTCCTCCCCATCTCCAGGTGGGCATCATGCTTTCAGTAAATTTAGAGTCACATACAAAGAAAAGATGATCCAGAATATGTAATAAGGCTCAAATGTTAATACCAATTTAAAGGAATATTTTCAATTTCAACTGTCCTTAAGTTTGGTAGTAAAATGTTTTGGTGGTAAAATGTTTTCTCTGATTTAACTGTTGCTCTTCACTGTTCTCTGAGGGAGAAACTACAGATGTCTTTAATGGCTGATTCTGCAGCGCAGGACATTGGGATCATTTAACTGTTACATTTTCTGATATAAAAATTATTTATGTTCAAACTGCATTTTTTTTTCTTCTTTTGGTCTAAGAAGGCCCAGATTAAAAATTAGTCTGTGTTTGGAGTGAGTCCTTCACTCTTGGTAAACTTACAACCAAGTACTCTGTTATACTTGCCTTTACTGTAGTTGAACAAGCTGCTGGCTTGTTCCATCTGCTGTTAAGTTTCTGTTTATGTGTAGACTCTGACAGAGTCACTTCCTTATCTGTTCTTTTCAGCTAAATACACTGCTTAGTTTTTCATTTTTATGGTTCTCAATATTTTAAAATTTCTTGTGCCTTTTTCTGTAAATATCCTCTAATTTTCCAACATCTTTGTCAATCCGTGCACATGAGAACCTAGGCAGAAATACAAAAGCTTGGAAATATAAAAGTGCGTTAATCAAGAACTAAAAGAGTAATTAATATGCACTAGAATGGGGTTATGAAAAATAAATCTTCTCTATCTTAGTGTTTAGAGGATATTTGAAGTGGTTGTATGCTAACTATGCACACAAAACAAATTTTTTCCAAAAGTCTGCTGATACATTGACTGTTCAACTGAAACAATATAAAAATTATGTTAAATGGATTAAAACTTGGTCCGTTATCAGTGTAATTAGTTAATGCAATTACAAGCAAAGAATCATTGTCAATTGAAAGGTTCTAATTGGCCAGAAGAGATCTGTATTTTCCCTTAGTGATGTGCTGTTATCTATGGGTACATCATTATTGAATGTTTGTTCAACAGTGACTGAAGTGGAGTAGTAAATGGGGATGATGTGTCACTGATACCAAGCTCTAATCTGGGTTCAGGAAAACAATGCTTTCTTCTGAAGTCACATATGTGATTTAATTTTGGAAAAATGAAACAAAATCCTCCAAATCTTCCCTGAAAACCGACCAGCCCCCCAGCTCCCCAAAACCCAACAAATAAACAGCAAAAATCCCCCCAAACCATACGAAAAACCCAAAACCAAGCCCACCAGAAACTTGAAAAAACCCATAAACCTAAACCCAAAACAAAAGAAAAAGAGAGGGGACAACCTCCCTTTCCCTTTCAGTTACTTAATGGGAGACTTAACTTAGACTTAACTCAGGGAATACTGACCAGAGGGTGGGGAGTAGAAAGGGGTGGGGGGAAGTAGGTTAATGATTAAATACCACTTCACTAATATGTTCAAAATCATTATTGTGATTTTTTCATGTATATAGGAAATTTTTTTTTGTGTAAAGAGAATAAAAATAATCTGTTGTCCCTTTCAGTTTTGATAGCTGATTTGACTTTTTTCTTTAGGAGCAGTATGCTTCCTTGCATACAGTTTTGGAGTCATTTGGTTCAATTTGTACCATTTTCTTACACTTTCCCCAGTTTTCCAGAGCCTGCTTCAAGAGTCTTTCAGCCTTTCTCTCTGTAGTCAAATAAACAAAAAGGGATTCTTGCCACCCTTTGGCATACTCCAGCCCATTAGCTCAGTAGGATATCTTAAGTAAGCAGAAGCTCAGGTAAAATGCTTTCACAAACTCCTGAAATGCTTTGGACTGTTCTTTGATGCTGTCATGTTCCCTGGCAACACTGAATCACTAGCAGTGCTTATTTCTTCATCTGAAACCAATTGATTTACTTGTGTGTGATGACATCTTCTGAAACATGCAAACATTTTAATGGTTTTGGGAAGCTTGATAGTTTGAAATCAGTAAGGTCTTGTGTTCTTCAGAGTAAGTTTTGATTACCTCATTTTTCTCTATATTGTAGAAGCACTCTAGCTGGAGAGAGAAGTATAGACAAGCTGATTCTGTTAGCGAGGAAGCATTGCACTAGCAAAATCACCAGATCTACAGCACTGAAGTCTTCAATTGTTTTCATTTCATTTCTTTGTAGTATTGAAAAATAATTTGGATATGAAAGACGATATTAGTTTTCTGGAGTTTTCCCTGAAATTATCTCCCACTTTTTAATTCTGCTGTCTGTTTTGTACTCAAAGATTACAAGAGAGTACTACTTTTACACTAACTGTGCAGTTTTGTACAATGCTTTTAAAATGGAATAGCTGTACTGGCTTTTTTTTTCTGTCTGAGTGTCTTTAATTGAATGTAAATACCAAGTATCATTTCGTTAAAGTTCCTAAGTTAAAGTCATCATTAAACTGGGAAATCTGACCTCTGAGAACTGCTTCCCCATGTCTGTATAGATAATGGGAATTAATCTGAGTATATTTTTAATAAAGCAAAAAGTAATATAGCAGCATATTTCCCATAATTATACAACTGAGATGCTGACTCTAGATTAAAACTGTACTAGCTAGTTGTCGTGGTTTAACTCTGGC